TCCGAGTCCCCCAAGGGTTGTCTCGGTGACTCTGCACATCAGGAATGCTGTGCTGAGTTCCCACACATTAGAACCAGATGTAGGCATTAAAAAGTTTTTTTTTTTTATCTAATACACAAACACCATTTTCCTAGAATTCATTTCCATGCATCCACCTCCTCCTGGAAGCCCTTTTATGATCCTGGAGGTTTATTAAGTGGGGTCTCTCTGGTGGCCACATTAAAGGTGCCCTTGCCTTGAACTTTTCCTATGACCAAGCACTGTTGTTTCTTCCTCCAGAATTTGCCCCAAAATCACTGCAGGCCTCCTGATCTGTTTCTGCACTGGTTCCTGCCATGTTTGCCATCCTGTGTGCCAGCCTTTACATCCTGTGAGAAACAACCACCCACATTTTAAATTTCTGAAGTTTTAATAAACCTTAACAAAAAATGCAACAAAAGGACTAAATAAGGAGAAGCAGGCCTGGGAGCTTCCCTCATGGCTGCCCACCACGTGGCTGGCTGATCTTCAAGATGGATGCTTCACCTTTGATACCCCGGGGGTTGCATCAGCTAAACCTGGCCCCTCCCAAAGTCTGTCAGTCAGCCCTTCTTTGTGTTTATTGCTGGAGCCTGCTTTCCTGCAGCTTGACTGGAGGGTCAGGTGTTCTCATGCTGCACCTCTTTCCCCCCCAGCAACAAGCTTTTGTACAGCCCTTCTTTCCACCTGTCCTAGATGACTCAGGCTCTCTGATGGAAACAGTGCAGAGGGGAGAGAAGGGGACTATGGGGAGAAGAGGGGACATCTAAACAACAGACTACAATAACATAACTATATATCAATAAAACTTCTCTTAGTATTCATACAATATTAATCCCTTTACTGTGAGAGCCAATCATCCCATTATCTATCTATAACACATCCTTTAAAATTTTGGCCACTTTGCTTTTGAAAAACTTCAGAAGAACTGAAAATGTTCATTCTCTGTGTTATTTATCAACCTCCTGCTAACCAGCCCAAACCTCCCACCTCCCTCTCACAAGCCACAAGTTCCACTGCCCTCCTCCCCTGCACTCTCCCACCTCCCCAGTCCTCCTCCTCCTGCATCCTTCCCACTGCAGGGAGCTGCTGAGGAGCCACATGGTCCATCCCTGGATTCTCCAAGCACTGACTGCCCATCCACTCTGACCACAGCCAGGGGCCACATCCCACTGCCTGCCCAGCGTCCATCCAGGGGATGAACATCATGTCCCCCGCTGCCAACTAATCCACTGAAGGAGATGATCTGTGTGAGACAGATGTCACCAGCGTGGCCACACACAGTGTGACACTGCTCATCTGCCTCTGTGGGCTGGCTGGGAACGGGGCTGTGCTCTGGGTCCTCAGGTTCCACATCCAGAGGGACACCATGAAACCCATCACTGCCTACATCCTTGACCTGGCCATCATCAACTTCCTCTTCCTCATCTTCATGGTCCCCTCCGCTCTGCTCTTCCTGCTGAAGGATTTCTCCTGCTCCTCCATCATGTCCCCAGCATCCATACGCTTCCTTTTCCTCCTCTTCCTGATGTTCCACAGCGTAGGGCTGTACCGGCTGACGGCCATCAGCATCGAGAGGGGCAGGTCCATGCTCTGCCCACCTGGGCTCTTCTGCCACCTTCCCCAGGGCCTCTCATGGGTGGTGGTCAGTGCCGTGCTCTGGGCCCTTTCCATCGCTGCCATCGCTGCCATTTCTGCGGTGAATTCCCTGTGCCAGTCACAGGAACACAAGCTCTGCCAGGGGGCTCTCATCTCCCTGTACATCCTCAACTTCCTCGTCTTTGCTCCATCCATGGTCATTTCCAGCACAATCCTCTTCATTCACTTCAAGGGTAGCTCCCAGCAGCAACAATCCAAGAGCCTTGACATCATTGTCTTCCTGGCTGTGATCCTCACTCTCCCCCTCAGTCTCTGGAATTTCCTGCAGCAGCTCGGCTACACCACTGTGTCCCCCAGGGTTGTTCTCCTATTTGCCTGCATGCACAGCAGCATCAACCCCTTCATCTACATCTCAGGAACAAAGTGCTGGAGGCGCTGCTCCATGGGGTCCCTCAGGGGGTTCCTCCAGAAGGTGTTTGAGGAGCCAGAAGGGAGCACTGCCCCCAGTAATGATGCCACCATGGACAGGGGGGCCTTAGCCTGTTGAACCCTTCAAGTGCCCCCATGCAGGACCATGGGGCAGTGACTTAGGATCACCCTCCCACCCTTATTCCGGCAGGGAAAGGGAGCAGAGGCAGTGAAAAGGGCCGTGTGGGAGGGATGCTCTGCACAGAGCACATTGGAGCATGGATTTGCTCCTCCCTCACGGGTCCTAGAGCACTTAACCCCCAAAATAATCCTTCCCAACAGAGCTGTGACCCCAAAATTCCCCTGGCACCTTGTTCCTGCATCTCGCTTAGGTCTGATATCAATAAACAGCACCGTGAACCCTGAGCTGCCTTTGCCCCCTCTGCCAGCGCTTCCCGGCTTCCTCTGGCTGCTGCTGCCAGCCGGGAATGTGACTGGAGGGAGGGGACAGAGAGGTAGTTAGCCAGGAATTCCGTGATGGTTTTGAAATTTCTGTAATGAACTATGTTTAATTAGTCAAGGCTTATTTGACTGTGGTTTTTTAGCTGGTTTTGATTTAGATCTGATTGGCTGAGTGTCAGTAGAAAACTCTATCGACCCATGGCCCTTAGAGAACTTATTCAACAGCTAGAGAATAGAATTCAATAAAGTATTTTTAATGATTTTCATAAAAATAGAAATTAATTGGACATCATGTAATAAGAATGATATCTTGAGAGAATTAGGATTTCAGAGGACTATACATACCAGAAGTCATAATAAATTGTAAGAGATAAATTGTAATGGCAATAAGAGAGCCATTTCCTAGGCTTGCAGACCTCATAAAACTTAATTTGTGGGAATTGTCTAACGAGAACATCAAATTAATTAAAACATTGTTTAGCTGGAAAAAAATGCAGGTTATCCATTAACCTAAGAGGTGCGACATATTCTGGTAGTAATTAAAACAAACAAAACACCTTTACCATGATGTAAAAAATTTGGAGCACTTTTTGGACTATCTATTTAAAATCTTGGATATTACAGTGTATAAAAATGCCTGAAAATTGTTGTTTCTGGAACCTATCAATGGCAAATATATTTCCTATATGTTTACATTTTTGACTCAAAATTGTTAGTATAGTGTTATGTTTGCCCAATTATCCCATCATAAAAAAGCCCAAGCAATATTTAAGGTAGCAGCAATTTTAATTGAATAGTATAAAAAATATATAAATAAGGGATAATTTGGTTCCACTAATAGCGCATAAGGAAAAAATAACCGCGGGGTACGGAGTGCAGGGTTCTGGGACCCTTGCAACCTCACGTACAAGCTTGCCAAGTTAAAATCACCCCTTATATGCAATGTGAAAACGCCATCTCCTGCTATTTTCGGTTCGTCACTTTTCTATCTCCGCCCTCATTACCACCTTTACCGCGCATGCACCACCACTTAGTTTGGTGGTTGCACAAGTCTTTGAGGGTCATTTTGGACAAAGGCCTCTTCTCTTCCTCTTTGTCCTTTAATTCACCTTTGGGTTACAGATGCGCATCAAGCCAGTACAATGTAAGCCAAGACTAACGTATCACTATATCTACATATCAAGGCAATAAATCCCTTATAATTAGCATTTTCTGGGACCCAACCAGGTTCTCCTTCCCTTTTTGCTAATTTTTAGCAGCTGTATCTTCAGCTTCTTTCCTGTGGTCCTTGAGAACATCTGCTGGGAAGGGGGTGGTGGAGCCCCTCCTCTCCCTCTCTTCTTTGGCATTAAAACTTTTAACTATTTTATTATTCCCAAATATTAATTACTATATCAATATTGATTACTGTTTCAATTTTTATCAGCACGAATAATACCTATTTATCACAATTGTAACACATTTTGGCTGTGATACTTAAATGTTTTGGTGTCAGAGGGGACACAGCCATGGCTTGTGCTCCCTTCAGCAACCATGATCCCCAGTGCCCAGAGCTGGGCTGGCACAGACAGGATGGCCCAGGGGCTCAGCATTCCCCATCCCGAGTGCTCTGTGAGTGTCACAGCAGAGATATCCCCTGGGATCATTAATTTTCAGTTTTGTGAGCCAGGTGCAAAGATGTCTCTGCCTTCAGAAATTCTTCCTCTCCACTGCCTTCAGCTGTTCCCTCAGCAGGCTCAGGTGCTGCAGCAGCAAGGAGAGGAGGAGGCCGTGATCCTCAGCACAGCCACCCCCTTCCAGGAGCAGGGTGACACCTGTGTTTGTCACCATGGGCTCCACGGGGCATCACCCCCCTCTCTGGGGCTTCCCTGAGGCCACCAGCCCCACCACACCCCACACCTTCTCTCCAGCCCCACCACACCCCACACCTTCCCACCAGCCCCACCACACCCCACACCTTCCCACCACATCTTCCCAGCAGCTCCATCATGTCCCACCCCTCCCACACCACCCTCCCATCCCACTCCCCATGCAGCCCACCCACCTCCCGTCCTTCCCATCCCTCCCAGCCCCGGGCCTCAGGCTCCAGTCCCTCCCCACGGGCTGCTCACCCCAGCCTGCCCCGGAAGGCTTTGGGGCTGTCTTTCTCTTGGAGATGCCCCTCCCCAGCTCCATCCCTGCTCTCCAGCCCCCCAACCTCCTCTGGACACAAACAAGAGGCACTACAGGGATGGCTCCACTGCTGTTCCTTGGGCTGGAGAAGCATGGAATTGCCAGGAGGAGCAGAAACACTGCTGGGGCTCCTGAGTGGGGCAGGAGAGGAGCGGGGCTGTCTGGAGGGGAAGGCAGCCTGGGGGGAATTTCTAGAGGATGTCAGAGGGGGCATGATGCCTTAGGATTTTAGCCTTTCTATTTTTCATATCCTGTACTGCATTAGTGCATAAGTTTAGAGTTATGGAAAGTGTTATTTAACTGTCTGCACATTTTGGTCAGACAAAACAATCCCTCTAGGCATGAAATTCAAGGACACTCTACTGCCTCAGGCCAAGAAAAGTATAGACAAAAGTGAATTGTGGTAGGGCAAACTGGGGCTAAATGACTTCATTACCTGAAGCTGTAATTGGAGGATTAACCCCTGATTTGTAAATGGACCAAACTTATATCTATCTGAAAAACTCATGACCATTGTCCATTTTGGGTGCAGCCCCTCTTGGAGGCTTTGAGAGCCCAAGGTGAACCTTTTGAAGGCCTTTCATCAATGCCTCCTTTCATTCTCTTCACCTGCTCTGGCCTCTGTTCCAGGGAGCCAGCCCAAGGCATCAGGCAGACAGGGGCTGGAGGGGGCAGGAGGGCTCTGGGTGCCACCAATCCCAAATCTGCCACTGGACAGCAGCAGAGCCCAACAGGCCACGCCTGCAGCCAGGGAGAGGCCAGGGACTGGGAACCCATTGGGATGGGATGGGATGGGATGGGATGGGATGGCATGGCATGGCATGGCATGGCATGGCATGTAGATTGGGGTGGAGATCGGGATGAGAAGTGATACCAAAATCAGACAGAATAAAGTTCCTAAAAACAACTAGTGTTGCTACCAAAGGAAGTATTAAGCAGCAGGACACACAGATTTATCTCTCCTTATTTCTGTATGTTGTGAGACTTTACAACTGTGTTTTTATTCTTTTTGACCATACGTTTAAAAGTTTTTCTTATCTGGTACATAAACACTAATTTCCTAGAACTCATTTCCATGCATCCACTTCCCAGTGGGTGTCCTTTTATAATCCTGGAGTTTCATTGAGAGGGGCTTCTCATGGATGTACTCCCTGACTGCTCTGATATTAAAGGTGACCTTGCCTTGAACTTTTCCTTTAGCCATGTGCTCTTGCTTCTTGTTAAAGAACTTGCACTAAAAATACTGCTGACCTCCTTATTTGTTTCTGCACTGGCTCCAGCCATGGTTATCATCCACGGTCCACATATTTCAAGATTTTTATATATTTGCCCAGTTAGTATATAAGCAACTTCAAAAGAGTTACAAGTGTTTATTGTCTCCTACTTATCAATCCCCTGCACAGCAGCTGAACCCTCCCAACTCCCTCTCCCACCACACCATTCCCACTGCCCTCCTCCCCTGCACATCTCACTCCTCCCCACTGAATCCTTCCCACTGCAGGGAGCTGCTGAGGAGCCACATGGTCCATCCCTGGATTCTCCAACCACTGACTGCCCATCCACTCTGACCACAGCCAGGGCCACATCCCACTGCCTGCCAGCGTCCATCCATGGAGGTGACCACCGTGTCCCCATCTCCTGCCTCACCCACTGAAGGAGATGATCTATGTGAGACAGATGTCACAGATGTGGCCATACACAGTGTGACCCTGCTCATCTGCCTCTGTGGGCTGGCTGGGAACGGGGCTGTCATCGGCCTCCTCAAACTGAAAATCAGGAACCCTGGCATCTTTGGCTTCACTGTCATTGACTTCCTCTACCTCCTCTTTGCAGTCCTCTCCACCCTCCTGCTGCTGGTGGAGGACGTGTCCTGCTCTCCTATTCTGCCCCTGCTGTACCTGAATTTGGTTTTCGCTGCATCAGCGATGTCCTACTACATAGGGCTGTTGTGGCTGATAGTCAACAGCACTATGCCGTATATGTGCAAGATCTGCTGGCTCTGCTGCCGCAGAGAGTTTCCCGAGTGCCCGAGGCCGGTGCTGATCAGTGTCCAGAGGTTGGCCTTCACTCTTCTCTTTGCTGTCATGTTGATGGTGACATTCCCCTGCAGGGAGAACTGTCAGGCAAATTTCATCTCCATGTACATCATCTTCCTGCTCCTCTTTGTTGCACCTGTGGTCATTTCTTGCACAATTGATTTCATTAAGGCCAAATGGGGCTCCCAGCAGCAGCAACCCAAGAGGCGCAACATCGTTATCTTTCTTATGGCGCTCTTCATTCTCTTCCTCAGCCTCTGGAATTTCCTGCAGCAGCTTGGTTACATCACTGTGCCCTCTCAGGTTGTTTTCCTGCTTGCCTGCATCCACAGCAGCATCAAACCCTTCATCTACTTCTTGGTGGGGAGGTGCTGCATGCCCTGCTCCATGGGGTCCCTCCGTCTCTCCCTCCAGAGGGTCTTTGAGGAGCCGAGAGAAAACACTGCCCACAGCAATGATCCCACCATGGACATGGGGATCTGAGCCTGCTGATCCCTTCCACTGCTGTGCTAAATAACCTCAGCACAGAGGCTGAGAGTGTCCATGAACCTCCTGATGAATAAATATCAACAGGATCACCCTCCCTGTGGTGCTGTATTCCTGCAGGAGAAGGGAGCAGGAGCATTGCCTTGCGTGATTTTTGTGGGATCTCTGCAGGGAGCACATTGCAGCATGGCTTTCCTCCTCCCTCCTGGATCCACATGGCTCCAAGCAGTGCAGCTGGGCTCAGTGCTGTTCCCCAGCTCTGTTTCCCATGCAATGACCCTCATGGCCTCAGCCCCAGGGAATGAACTCCATCTCCTTTGGCTCAGCAGATGAGTTCCATGGTGTTTCCAGGGAGCTCTTGCCTGCAAAGAATGGGACACCTTAATCCCTGGGGACACACCCAGCACAGGGTTGCGGTGATTTCCCAAATCCGTGCAGGGCTGGTGCCTCTGGATGGCAGGAGAGGGGCTGGGATCACAGGGAGCATCCTTCCGCTTCTGTCCAGCGGAGCCGGCCCTGCATTCCCAGCTGATGGGAAGGGACACCAGGTAGGGCTGCAGAGCTGGGGAGGGACAGCAACATTCCCTCATCCTTTCAGTGGGAATGCCTCACATTCCTCAATTCCAGAACTGAATCCTTCTGAGGAAAGTGTAGGGTCGATGGTGAACTCCACTGAACTCCTGTGCCTGTACCAGAAAGTACATGGAATATGGAAATTCCCATCACCAGATGCTTGGACCATTGAATTGCACAGAAATTAGGGGGTTATGCTGCTCTTCTGCAGAATGTTCACAGGACTGTGGTTTTCCTTTCGCTTGGAACTGTTCAAACCTGCTCTGGACTGAAAACCCAGAAGAGCACCAGGAGCTCACACCTGTGGCCCACCGGGGCCTGGGACGCGGCATTTTCCAGCACCAGAGGGACTGATAAGGGACTGAGTGAGCCAAACTGCACTCCGCAACAAGGACTGTCTGAATTTGCCAACTCTTCAGAACAGCAAGAGATGTTATTATTTCATATTGCTTTCATTTTTTATGCTTGTGAATACTTTGCTTGTTAAATAAACAGTTTTTTCCACTTTTTTCTAAGGAAAACTTTTTCTGAAACAGCTGGGGGAGGGGCTGCTTAAATTTATTTTCTAGAGGGATCCCATTTCAAGGTTTATCCCAAATTTTCCCTAAACCAGGACACAATCCAAACCATTCCATGATGATTCCTTGTGTCACCCACAACCGCCCCAGGCAGGAGTTCCCCTGCTGCACACAGCACCAGCCTGACAGAGCTCAAGGAGCACTTGGACAATGCTCTCAGGCACAGGCTGGGATTTTTGGCATGTCCTGTGCAGGGCCAGGAGCTCAACTCCATGGTGCTTGTAGCTCCCTTCCAACTCTGGATATTTTAGTTTTCTATATTGTGATGACTCTGTTCCATGATTATTCCACCACATGATGACTCCTCTGTGTTGTGCCTATGCCCTGGCTCTGGCACAAAAGCCTCAAAAGCCCTCTGCAAGGCAACACTACCAGAGGGGGTGAATTCCTTTGCACAGCTCCCAGCCAGGCAGTCAGTCAGAGGGAGGGCACTGCTCTGGGCACAGGTGAGCAGGAGAAAGGGGCTGGGGGCAAAGACAGAGAAGTCAAACGCCCTCAGAAAGAGCCAGTGCCCAAAATCAGCAGGGAAGAAGGGGAAGGAGATGACAGGAGCAGCAGGAGCAGGGCACAGAGCTTCCCTGGGAGCTGTTTCCATGAGCAGCACAGGAGCCTGGCCAGCAGGGCCAGAGCAGAACAGGGCAGGCTGAGCACTGAGAAGGGGCAGCTCAGCACCAAGGCCATGGGCACCAAAGGGCAGCAATGGAGGGTGGCAGTGAGCAGCAAGGAGAGCAGCCAGAGCAGGGCACACAGGAGCACCGGGAAGCACTGGGAGCCATGGCAGGGCCAGCAGGACACGGGAGGACAAACAGAGCTGTGACAGCACTGAGGGCTGTCAGAGAGGAGACAGCAGCAGTGAAAGCCAAGAGGATGGGGACCTTCAGCCCAGCTGGCACAGCCCACGAGCCCAGCTGGTGGCAGAAGCTCTCTGGGACAGAAAATATCCCCAGGCTGATGGTGATGGAGAGCAGGAAGGTGGAGCCAGCCATGGCCAGGCTGAGCACACAGGGGGTGATGGGGTTCCTGTGGATGCAGAAGCTGAGGAGCCAGAGCACAGCCCCATTCCCACCATCCCACACAGGCACAGCAGCAGCAGCAGCAGCAGCGGGACAGGCACTTTGCTCCACTGCCTGCTGTCACACTGGCTCCAGTTGTCGTGGCTCTCCTCATTCCAGCTCCCCTGGGATGCCTTCCCACCGGGCTGGCTCCAGCAGGCAGGGCTGGCTCCCTCCGTGCCAGGGGACAAAGTGCTCATGGGGACACCTCTGCTGCTTCTCCTGCCCTCACACAGCTGCAGGGCTGACAAACAGACACACCAGAGCAACACTGCTGTCCCCCAAACGTGGCTTTTCCCATCTTTTCCCACCCACAGCTTCCATGTGGAGCAGCACAGGGAGGGGTGAGGGACACGACAGATGGCAAGGAGGATGTGGGAGCCTGGTCCTGTGTGCCTGGCACAAAAGCCAGGGAGATACCTCCTTCCTGGCTGTGGATAGGACACAGCTGGAGTAGGAAAACAACTGGAGCAGGAGAGGATTGCCCATGGAGATATCAGAGAGCAAATGGCTTTGGGATGGATCTGAGCTGGACTCTCAGGTGTCAGTTGATGTCACTGAGCTGCTGGATTCCTTCAGCAGGACACGCGTTTCAATACTCCCACCCTTTTCCCACACTATTTAAAGTGTTGGATTCCCTACACACCTCGGTTCTGCCCCCAAAATCAATAACCAGGTTCCACCCAATGAGGGGGACCTGGTGAAGGTGGAAGAGAAGAGTCTGACCTGGTTTCCTCTGGCAGCCTGGAGAACTTGCCCGCAGTGCACTGCCCTCAGCTGCCAGGCTCCAGCTGCTGTTCCTGGGCCGGGATCTGCAGGAGGTTCCCTGGAATGGTCCCTTGGGAAAGGGGAGCGCAGCCCGCGGGCTGAGCCCGAGCAGCGTCCGGCGCGGGCTCTGTCCCAGCTCCTGCCACAGCCCCTGCTCTCCGTGCTGCCTCGTGTTCTCCAGGGCTCTCACACACAGGCAGCTGCCTCAGAGCCTGCCACGGGCTCAGGGCTCTGCTCCTCAGCTGCTCTTCACTCTGCCTGGGAAATGAGCAACGGGAGAGAGCCTCAGCAACCACACCTGTGCCCAAAGCACTTGGGCTCCATCTCAGCTTCCATTCTATTTTATAGCAACCTCAATCCTGAAATCTTATCTTTTGAACAGTCTGAACTCACCCCCTTTCCTTCTTGAGGTGGATCCTTAGGACCCTGCACTACAAATGTGCTGTTAAACTTTGATTTCTGGTTCAAATCTCGTTTCTCCATGTGTATACTGAAGTTTCAGTGGTATTTTACCTTCACCATACAGTTTCCAAGAAGATTAATGCAATACTGAATTCTGTGTGCAAACTGGAGCACAGGCACACTCCAGAGGGATGATTTAGGATGTCAGCAGTGGCATTTCTTCCGTGAAGAGGAAAACCCATGCTGCTCTCTTGGCTTTAATCCTTAGAAAGTTGCAGATTTCCTTTGAGTCATCTTCCACAATCTCTTAGCAATCAGATAGCAGCCTACACTGAATTAGAAGGAATTCCTAAAAAGCTGACATGAGATGATTCCTATCCAGGCTGACATGTGCCTCAGGGATCTGGGATGCTCCTGCTGGAAACTGCTGGCCCAGGCACCAGAACTGTCACCTCTCTTCCTGCTGACACCGTGTTTGTGTCCCCAGCTATGGAATCTCACAACCCCTCACCAGCCCAATCCTTTCAAGGGCAAACACTTAATGATCCAGGCGCTGATGGGGCTCCAGGAGGGGTGGAGAGGAACTTTGGACAAGGGCATGGAGTGACAGGACAAGGGGGAATGGCTTCCCACTGACAGAGGGTGGGGTCAGATTGGATATTGGGAAGAAATCCTTCCCTGTGAGGTTGCTGAGGCCCTGACACAGGTTGCCCAGAGGGATGGTGTCGCAGACATCTTTTCATAAAAATCCTTTCTTTAGCATTTTCCCTTCTGGGAAGGTAAGGCCCCAGAGAAAGAATGTAAATAATTATCTGCTGCTGTGAAATGCAGGAGGTGCAGCTGTGATTGGCCCATGTCGGATGTTTACAATTAATGCACAATCAAGGACTGAGCTCTCTCGGACAGAGTTGGAGAGAGCTCCTTTTCATCATTCTTTTCTATTCTTAGCTTAGCTAGCCTTCTGAAATATTTTCCTTCAATTTCTTTTAGTACAGTCATAATGAAATATATATATCATAAAATAATAAATCAAGCCTTCTGATCATGGAATCAACATTCTTAATCTGTCTCTAGTCCTGAAAACCCTTGTGACCATGGACACAGGATGGGGTCAGGTAAAAGCAAACACAAGGGCTCCCATGTCTGAGGAGGAGGAGCATGAGCCCTAATGATGGGCTGGAAAAGGGATCACATCACCTTGGTCCCTAATAGCTTTCAATGCATCCTAAGGGGATAGGCAGTAATCGGGGTGGGGTCTAAGTGCTGCTGACCTGGCTGCAAGCAACTGAGTGCTGTCCTTCCTTTGGGCTGTGTGAGCCTGCATTGCAATGACAGAAATGGGAATTCTCAGTTCAGTTTGCTTTCTTGGGGCCAGAGAAGGTTTTGGTAATGATCCTGAAAATCAACCCAGAATGGGAGTTGTTTCTGAGAAGCACACAGATGACTGCACAGAGCTGTGAGCACTTCCAGCACTGCCAGCAGCATTCTAGCACCACCAGCAGCTCTCTGCTGCTGGAGGGACAGTGACTCCTCAGGGTAGATAAATGAGGAATGGTAGAAACTTGCTTAGAGAGGGAAAGTATAAAGAATGTCCCATTTGGAAAAGAGTTTCTAATCAGAAGGA